TCACATTAGAAGATCCAGAATAGAATGGGAGAAAATGTGAACAAATTTCAAAAATACTAAAAACAACAACAACAACAACTGGGCTTATGGGCCAGAAAGACACTGGAGGAACCTGAGATTATGACCCTCAACCACCCTTTAGGTCTGGAATAGAACTCACCTTCATGGCCCAATTTTCAGCTAAGCAGAAGACAGGTATATATAATTGACAACAACACTAGAAAGGAATGCTCACCATGGAAATGCCAATCATTCAAGGTCAAAAGGGCAACATTTACCTAAGGACAAATTTGGGAAATGATGGGAATGTGGGTGGAATGGAAATAGGAACCACAGGAAAGGAAGTAGGATAACTGTTGTTGCATAGAGGGGGTTGCAATCATGGAGATAAAACGAAGTGTAGGATATGTTGAATGTAAAATAAGGATGTGCTCTACAAACCTTCACTCAATTCACATAAAAGTTTAAAAAAATAATAAAAAGATACAAAACACAGGATTTAAAAATCTCTATGCCATACTTTCTCTCTGGATCTTCTGGAAAGAAGACAGTACAGAGCAAAGAAATGGAACGAAACACACCCCAAATATATGATCAGGGGAATTAGAGCTCATTTATCTGTTTTCTTTTACATTTTTCTTACCATCCAATCTAAGAACAATTTATAACAATAAAAAACCAGAAACCAAAATGACAACATAATATTTTAAAGTGATAAAATGGGTTTAGTGAGTTTAATAGCAACAAAATATTACAACTAGTAAAGAGGAACTTAAAAAAAATTTAATCTGACATTCCAAATTTTAATCCACAATGCTGAGATAATATAAAATGCTTGGGTGCAATAGTGAAAATTGCAGTGATAGAACCTAAATTGCATTATAATCTGATAATTATCATGGTAATACATTAGCAGCAGAGTAGCAAGCACAGGATTCTAATCAAGTTGAGGCCTGTATGGAATAGGCAAGAGTGCCTCCAACAGCGGGAATGAAGGATGCCAAGCACTGCCTTCCAAGGACATAAATCAATAAAAATGCTGGTAGTAAACTTTGTGCTAGAATTTTTTTTTCTCTTCTCTACATTTATAACAATCAAAAATTAATCGAGAGTTAGTAAAGCCTTGTCAACAAGGATGGATGAATAGAAACGGGGGATCTCTATTTTATATCAAGGCAAACAGGGAACACTCAGAGCTCTGGCTTTTCCACTGAGCTAGTCACCATTGAGTTGACTTATCTCAAGGTGATCTCATTGGTGTCAGAGTAGAATGGTTTTCCACAAGGCTTTCAATGGCTGATTTTTTGGAAGTAGATTGCTGGGCTTTTCTTCAAAGCTGTCACTGGGTGAATTTAAAGCTTGTTCAGTTATCAAATGCTGTTATAGCAGAAACTCCACAAGTGGATGGCTTTAACAACCAGAAATTTATTCTCTCACAGTTTAGGAGTCTAGAAATCCAAATTCAGAGTGTTGGTTCTAGGGGAAGGCTTTTTCTTTGTCTACTCTGGGGAAGAATCCTTATTTCTTTTCAGATCTGTAGGCCCAGTATACCTTGGGGACTTCCATACATCCTGGCATCAAACTTCCTACGGATCTAGGAGCTTCACAGTGCAGCGACCCCACACCTAGAGGACACATTCCACTCCTGCTGCCTTGGTGGTAGTAGGTCTCTCCTTCTCTGCTCAAGTCTCTCTCCTTGTATCTCTTGTAATAGATATGTGTTGCATACCACACTCTTGGAAATCTTCCTTAAATCTCATCAGGGTGGTGGTAGGATTAAAGGTGATGTGGTTCTGGTGTGGTACTGTAGGATAAGCACTGGACCCCAAGGATGGTGGTTGAAACCCATCTGCTGCTCCTTGAAAACCCTACACAGGGTCACTACAAGTTGGAACGGACTCAACAGCACTTAAAAACAACAATAACGCAGTTCTGTAGGATGAGAACTGGACTAATAACTACAAGGTAGGTGGTTCAAACCCAGCAGGCACTCTCAGAAACCCATACAATATTGCTATGAGCTGCAATTGACTTGACAACACACAACAACAGCAACATCCACCCTTACGGGTAGTGGAGTCCTAGTGTGGTACCATAGGATAAGCACTGGACTGCTAACTGCAAGGTCAGCAGTCCAAACTCACCAGTTGCTCCTCAGAAACCTTCTAAAGAATTGCGGTAAGTCAGAACCAATTCAACGGCACATAACAACAATCCACCATTAATCATCTTATTGGTTTATCACATCAAATCATAACATGAGGGATAGCTACATCTCAGCTGCCAAAGCACTGAGAATTCTAGCCCAGTCAAGTCTAACACAAAACCTTCACTATCACAAGACCTTCAACCTTTCAACTCGCAATTGACCGTGCACCATCAGGGACTCTGCGCTCTGCTGAAAGGCCAGGCCTCTCGTGAGGGAAGGAGATTGTCTGTCACCTACTGTGTCAAATAAAAGTTGTTTCCTTCCAAAATTAAAGGAAGTTGATGTGATTTTACTACTATCCATTTTTATGGATATATATTTAAGGAGCTCTGGTAGCGTAGTGGTTATAAATTGGGCTGCGAACCGCAAGGTCAGCGGTTCGAAACTAGCAGCCACTCTGCGGGAGAAAGATGAGGCTTTCTACTCCCGTAAAGATTTACACCCTCGGAAACCCTGTACAGGGTCGCTATGGATCGGAACCGACTAGACGGCACTTAACAACAAACAACTATATATATATATATAATCTTAAATAGAAAAGGGAAAATGCTTCATAAAGATATTTTAATATAAACACTTAAAACTAATGACTTGGGAATATAGTAATACTGCTGTTTGACTAATTCCCTCAGAATTTTTATTGTAAGAATGAAAAAATGGAAGCTGAAGTTAGCAACTCAAAACAAGCAGCAGTATTTGCCAGAGAAACCCACATGGTATCAATTTGTTTGGGAAAAACAGATTTGCTATCATTTGGCAATAAGCGCTTTATGAGTTCATATTCTTTGATGTAGTAATACCAATTCTAGGAAAGTACCCTAAGGGAATAACTCAATAGAGAAAACATTTAGATTCATTAAGCTGTTCATTCTTAAGAAAAACAAACCAGAATAAAGGGTCAACGCTACAGAAATAAGAAAGTGATTAGGAGTTGTGGTCAACTGTCATTGAGTTTATTTTGACTCATGGTGGCCCCATGTATGCAGAATACAGCTTCTCCACAGGGTTTTCAGGTGTGATCTTTGGAAGCAGATTGCCAGGACTTTCTTCAGAAGAAACTCCAACTTGGTTCAAACCACCAGCCTTCCAGCTAGTAGTTCAGTGATTAACTATGGTGCCACCCAGGGACTCCACAGTGTTTAAGTAAATGTTGGTATATCAAATCAAATGAAAAAGAATCCAATGGTTACAAATAATAATGATGCAAACTGCTGTGTGCTATGCAAATGGGGCTGTGGGATAATGCACTGGGCAGCAAGGTCAGTTTGAACTGCAAGGTCGGCAGTTCAAACTCACCAGCCACTCCTCGGAAACTCTATACAGGGTCATTACAAGTCAGAACCAACTCAACAACAACAACAAACAAGAAAAGTGGCATACACAATAAACATAAGTGAAAATATCCGAAATTTTCTTATTAACATACAGTTCCTGAGGAACCCTCCAATAAGAAGTAACTGTTTGAACCATCCACAGACTACCATATGTGAGTTACTGCCGAGTCGGTTCCAACTCACAGTAACCCTGTGTTTCTGAGGAGTAGCTGGTGGGTTTCAGCTGCAGACCTGTGGTTCGCAGTCCAGTGCTGATACTACAGCTCCACACCATGCAGGCATCCAACATACAGTATGTCCAACATATAGGTTGAGAGAGTCAAAATTTAATGGAGCACCAGCAGAGATGCCAAAAGTATACAAATAGAAAAAATAGACAAAGATTTCTGAGGATCAAAAAAGTTGGCATTCTGTACAATGTCATACTGACCACTTCTGAGTTGAGGTTGTCATTCAGATCGGTCTATTAGCAGTCTGGAAGGATTATGCAGTACCTCAGTTTCTATTTCCCATTGTAAATATTTCTGTATCTCATAATGAACTTGGTCCTTATTTAGTGAGCGGCCCAGACTAGCCACTACAGAGCAGTAGATGGAAGTAACTTGCAGGGAAGAAATACGGTAGAGCAATGGCATAGGAGGAATGAGAAAAGCATGTGAAAAGATCACAGAGACAGGAAGATACCACTCCAAGACATGCGCTTTGAATGCAGATGGCAGCGCTACACAGTTGAAGGGCTCCTCATGAATGTGCCTCTGCATTTTATTAAGGAAAAATTTTCATATATTTTACTTACAGCTATTAGGCTTGGCTACTAAACTGAGATGTTGACAGTTTGAATGCACCCAGACGTGACTTAGGAGAAAAGCCTGGTGTCTACTTCCAAGATATCAGCCACTGAAAACCCAATGGAGTAAGTCTTATCCTGACACATGAGTCACCATGAGACAGAGTCGCTTCAACGGCTACTGGGTGCTTGGTTTTCAACCATCCGGAATCACTGTGTTCAAGACCCTGAGCAGTTCCCACCTATTTCAAAAGACTCTCTACTACCCTTTAATGAAATTGCTTTGTATTCCTTAGTCCTTATTTCCTTGGTTACTTATTTTGTTTGCTTTGCCTTCTCAGGCAGAGATAGTTATTTTTTAGCACATGTAATGGCTAATAAATATATGATTTTGAATGAATTAATCAATGAATTAAATAAGTTCATGAGATTTGGGTCCATTTCTTATTTTGTATTCATATTACTTACCATGGTACTAGACAAACAGACAATTATCAATGACTCTTCACCAAACAAATGGGCAAATACATGTGCGTGCATTGTTACACTGACGGCTGGCTGTAATACAAGAATTTGTGCTTCTTATCAGTCCCCTTTCTACCTTCTGCTTCTAGGACCCATGAGGCAAACTTCTGTTCTGAGAGGAATGCTACCCATGGAGATCACTTACCTAGGTCAAACTGGCCAGAAATGTAGCCGCAAGTCTGCCGGACTTCCTCACTGTCCCAGCCCAAGGGGTAGAGTGCACAGCCTGCACCAATCAACAAGCCTGAAAAGAGAGAAAACAAGAGGGCTTTACCAGTGCCCCTCTGTATCCCTGGATAGAGGTTGTTGCTGTTAAGTGCCATCAAGTCAGTTCTGACTCACAGTGACCCTGTACAGGGTTTCAGAGGAGCAGCAGCTGGTGGGTTTGAACTGGTGACCTTGTAATTCAATATAGGTAGCTGGGGGTGGGGTGGGGGGAGAATCAATATTTCGCAATATAACAAAAGGCCATGGCGTCCATATTTTTGAGAAACATTGGCCCCAATTCCCCAAAGAAATATATGGTTCATTTGATTCCAAAAACAATATCAAACCTGCCTAAAGGAAACCAAACAAACAAAACTTGACAGGCAAGCTCTGTTTAGTTCCAACATTGCCTTTTAAAGCATTAGAATCCTTGCCAATCCTATTTAGGATCCCACCATCAATTAATGCAAACAAGTAATTTAAGAGCAAGCAAAAGTGGCTAATAAGTTCTGCTTCATCATTCATTAGACGTTTTCCAATTTAAGAACCAAAATAGAATGCTTCTGTGTCATCAAATTCTATGAGGGGAGAAAGAACATAGAGAAACCAGTTCATAAACCTCTTTCATAAAGCACTTCAGCACAGAGGTTGACCCTGTGAACTACACTGCCTATTACTCTGCTCTGCTGGGAGATATAGAAGCACGAAGTCTCAGAAGAACTCTAGAAGACAGACACTTCTTATAATAACCTAATACAACTAAAAACAAAAGCTGTGAGCGTTAAATTGAAAAAAAGGGATGGTGTTACTTGAGTATAAATTATGATAACATGTATGGAGCTGACCGTTTTAGATGGGACAGTCTCCAGTTTTTCCATCAAAGCCTAATGTGCCAGAATCCTCTTAGGTGAGACATTCCTACTTTAAAGGCCATGCAAATCAGCCTGGAATAGCTAGAGGAACAAAAGATACTTATTGAAAGAAAGACCAGCAGGAAAAATAAAAAATAAAAATGGTAGTCTGATTAGCTACTACAAGAACAAGCAAGATATTTGCTAGGGAGCCATCAAGGCAAGCAATCAAGTTCCTTTAAGACCAATCCCCCTGCAAGACTGAAACTCAAAGGGAACACACAAGCAGGCATGTAAGCTTGCTGGTGACCTCACTGGTCTCCTGGTAAATGGAAGAGGGGGAAATGTAGCAATGAAGATATGGATCGAGTTTGATCATGTTCCATAGACTCCTGTCGACCTGGAGATGAACGAGCAAACAGGAGGGGTTGGTTGGTCAGAAGTGTGGTGAGACCTGTGGACTCCTGAGCCCAGGGACAAGGACATAGCCATAGAGGGCTGGAGTTGAGAGCAAAGCGCCTGGTTGATGTGAACTGCGGGGAGACGCACAAGAACACCCAAACTTGTAGATAGTACCCATTCGACCTTGCTACGATGGCTTGATGATCAGAACTCAAGATTAATATATATATATATGTACGTATATATACATGTATACATATATCTTTTTTTTTTTTAATAAAGGAAATAAGTGTAAATTGCTACAGTTTGATGAGCGTGACCTATATTTATGGATGTAGTAGCTCAAAATACCAACTTATAGGGAAGGAGTCTTCACATCCAAAATGAATCCTATCCCCTCTGTATACAGGGTTGCTAGAAACAGGCAACTTAGACATTGGCTACCTAAAATGGGAGGGGCTATAAAGGCACAAAGTGAGTGGCTTACAAGTTTTCAAGAGGGAGTTTAGTTTCAGAGTGTGTGGGAGAAAGGAGACTCCCCACTGAATAGTTTTCATCTTATCTATATGGGTCTGGTGAAAGGATATGGGGGATAGGATTCTTTTGATTCAATAGTAAGTAATTGATATCATGACTAATTGCAAGTGTCACAACTGTAAAGGCAGAAATTTTGTTAACAAAAAGAGAAGAGTAGTTAATCTTACAGTCCAGGAACAGAGAACCCTAGGACCATCAAAGGAGAAGAGCACAAGGAGAATGTGGGATCCTATTCAGAGAAGCAGCGACACCAGATATGGAAGCAGAGATGAAAGCATGGATTGAAACAGCAGCTGAAGACTCTAGACTCATGGAAAGAGAAAAGCTGGGTGCTGGCAGCCAGGTGCTGGTGGCCAAGGGGCAGGCTTCAGAATGTGTTCTTTGGTTGTTTAAATGATTATATATTCTTGAGTCTTTTTGTATACATTCTTCCCTCCTCATCCACCCCCCCCACAAAAAAAAACCCCAGAGTGAATAGAAGCAAATATTGAATGACGATGCACAGAGCAGACTGTAATCATTGCAATGAAATGATGAGTGTAAAACTGATGTTCACCCATGTAAACTAATCACTCAATTCACAATAAAAACTTAAAAAAAAAAAAGCCTAATGTGGTTTTTGATTATACAAATTGTGGTGTTGAAGAATACTGAGTATACCAAGGGTTGCTAGAAGTATAAACACATCTGTTTTAGAAGAAACTCAACTATGAGTTGGTTCAAACTCACAGGGACTCTCTATAGAGTTTCCACAAATGGCCACCACTCATCTGTCTGTCATGCTGTGGCCATTTTGAATCTGACAACCACATGGTTTACTATGCAAGGAATGGCAAATTGAAAAGGAATGGTGTTGCATCCATCATCAAAAAGAACATATTCAGATCAGTCATGAGGTACAATGCTGTAAGTGATAGGATAATATCCATGTGCCTAGGGAAGGAAGCTCAGTTAATACCGCTAATATTCAAATTTATGCACCAACCACTAAAGCCAGTGAGGATGAAATAGAAGAATTCTACCAACTTCTTCAATCTGAAATTGATCAAACATGCAATCAAGAT